TATGTGTGATCTTGCCATGTGTCTTTAAAGGCAGTTGGCACGACAAATCCCTCAAAATGAAAAGGATTAATAGGCAGGACGGAATTCCGCGACCCTGAGCAGGCGCTGCATAATGCCTTTTCCAAGGGAGGTGCCCTTATAAGGGCCCTATCAAGCCACAACATTACGACCCAAACGCCCGCCACGCCCGCCCGCCCACAAATGGACGACCGTTCCTGACGCTCTAATCGATTCATTTGCTAAGCAAATTATGAAGCGAAGGGATTGGTATGAAGCGGCCGTGATGCTGCATGGATATATGAGTACACATATGCAGCCGTACCTTCGGTAGCGGTTATTGGCAAGATGCCTAGGGAAACTCGTCCAAAATCGATTTTCAAGTCACTGAGAACGGAGGCTTTTTCTTCGCAGGATTTTGACCGTTTCACTCCGTTCTTTCGCCATTTCCCCACTATATAGCGCCCTACTAGCATTTTAGGCCGAGCACCAAATCATCGTGCAAACTTTAAGATGGTCAGGAGATGGGAGAGGTAAAGCCTGCGACGCTCTACGGTAAGGAGCGCTGGCCCATGCGCAGGAAGCATGAAAGATAGCTCTTCTCAGCTGAAGTGTAAATGTTGAAAAGGGCCTACAGCTGGGCAGTGTCGGAAATGAGGACTTCAGACGACCTGGTCACACAGACGGTCTCGATCCAGCTACAAGCATGGGAGTGTCGACTATGAGCACATGCTGAAAAGACTTGAGGACCACCACATAAGGGAAGCGTTGGGCTTTGATTTATTGGGCAAGCGATCACGAGGAGCCTTAAGGAAAAGAGGGAATGTCACAAGAAGAACCGCACAAAAAAATGCCACAACAGAAGATGCATTGAATCACAACAATGGCGATGCCTTACAAGAACAGTGCACCCTGTCAGGCTGCGTTTATACTTTGCGGCAGCGTAGCGTAGCGCAGCGTAGCGTAGCGCTTCCAGCGTACGCCAGCGGCAGTGTCGGGGAAAGGATAGATATCGATCTAGCGTTCCCAGCGTCACCAGCGTACGCTAGCGTGCCGCTAGCGCACGTAGCGAGAGGGCTTGCAGCGACGGGGCTAGAAAGGGGCTAGAGAGTATTGAATGTAGGAAAGTACAAAATACTCTCCTGCCTTCAATTACTGGCTCTAGCCCCTCTCTATCGGTCGTGCGAGAGCGCGTGGGAAAAGCGCTGCGAGAAACGCGTGATGGCTCAGGTCGATAACTATGCTCCGTGCCCTCGCTACGCTAGCGTACGCTGGTGACGCTGGGAACGCTAGATCGATATCTATCCTTTCCCCGACACTGCCGCTGGCGTACGCTGGAAGCGCTACGCTACCTGTGCTGCTAAGTATAAACGCAGCCTGCAGGCAGCGTTCACAGTTCGCGACAGCAGCGGCGATCGCCGGCGATCGCGGCGATCGTCGGTGCATGGCAGCGCGCGCCCCAACGCTATTGTGAATGCCGTTGAGTGAATAAGGGAATTAACTTGTTGACCTTCTTACTCTTAATAAGGGCTACTAACAGACAAACTACGACCTTCTACACATAAGCAGATCTGGAATAGAGGTAAGAAGGTTTCACTTCCTTTTAGGTCGGGGTAAGACCAACTCCATTTCCTGGGTGAGCTTCTTTTTTGTTTTTTATTGTTTCAATTTATGCATGCGCCTCAGGAATTCCTATCGTCTAAGCTGTTCCAACTTCCAAAACATTCATAGTTTACAAGTCGAGTTCAAACAACGAAGAAAAAAACGAAATAGAAAGAAACTCTCCTAGGAACCAAAGCACTAATCATTTTACGCGACATCAAGGGGTGAAAACTTCATAAACCTCATGTACAACCTCCGGACGACTTGAAAAAAAAAGAAAGACAATAATAAACGCTACTCAAAAGTGAAGCTCTCGCGCACTTTATGTGCTCATTTCTATCCTAAATAATAAAGAAAATAGAAAACAAAAGCGATTAGCTGGGCTCGCCTTCCCTTGTGTCAAACCAAGCTTCAGTACCTAAGGAAATTGCAGTCAAAGGAAAAAAAGCATAAAATTGAGCCGCTTACCCCCAGAAGCCTTCGGAGCGCAAGTAATAGCGTTGGGGCGCGCGCTGCCATGCACCGACGATCGCCGCGATCGCCGGCGATCGCGGCGATCGCGGCGATCGCTGGCGATCGCGGCGATCGCCGCTGCTGTCGCGAACTATGAACGCTGCCTTCACGGCGCGGGACCAGCGCTAGGGAGAAGAAGGCTGTTGCGAAAGCGCTTGGCGCCCGCGCTACAAGGACCCAAGGAACAAGTTTCCACTTTTCCAGCTACGACGCTACTGCTCGCTTGTTAGATTCGTTTAGTGCTTTTAGGTTACACGTTTGTAGCCTGCATTCCAAACTCTACCGATGTGGTTGAGACTCCATTCATGTTTCATGGAATTTGAAGTTCTTTCCTGGTTGGTCTGCAATAGCATAACTACATAATGAACGTAATACTTTGAATGCGAAGAGTTTAAAGGCAGTTGGCACGATAAATCCCCCAAGACGACTAGGATCAATACTCCTGGCAGGATAGAATTCCGCGACCCTGGGCAGGCGCTGCATAGCGGTTTCCCCGAGGAAGGTGCCCTTATAAGGGCCCTATCAAGCCACAACTTTACGTCCCAAACGCCCGCCACGCCCGCCCGCCCACAAATGGACGACCGTTCCTGACGCTCGTATTCATTCATTTGCTAAGCAAATTATGAAGCGAAGGGATTGGTATGAAGCGGCCGTGATGCTGCATGCATATATGGGTACACAGCGATGATTGGCAAGATGCCTACGGGAAACTCGTCCGAAATCGATTTACAAGTCACTGAGAACGGAGGCTTTTTCTTCGCAGGATTTTGACCGTTTCACTCCGTTCTTTCGCCATTTCCCACTATACGCCCTACTAGCATTTTAGGCTAAGTAGGAAACCATCGTGCCAACTGCCTTTAAAGGCAAAGCTAGCGGTCATTCACCATACCAGTTGAAGGTTTGCATATAGAAGACAAGGTGCTGAGTAACTCGATAGTGAAGAAAAGCAGAAAAACATGCCAACTGCCCCAGATAGAACCCATTTCGATCCCAGTTTGTACGTGCCCATTAACTCTATCTCCAGCACTACGCCCTCATCCGCACAGCTGATTCCCGATAAGAACTCTACGACCGTACAAGTGACGATTTTCATGCTTTTTCGTCCTGCAGCTTCGTTTTTCACGGGTTTTGAGGGCAGAGTCTGGTCTTGAGACGGAGTCACTGGAAAAAGGAGGCGTCACTGAACCTACGTTACGCTACAGCGCCCCTCCCTTACAATTTTTTTGCCGCAAAACCGGTACAAGCTAGTTCGTCCCGGACAGCACTACCGACACCATATTTTCAACTTCTATATCTGATCGCGGACCGTGCCTTAAAAATTCAGAAAAGTATCTCTCGATCTGTTACGGATTCACCACCTGCATAATGTGAATTACAAGGACATCTTAAGTTCGTACCACAGTTGCCATAATTGTTGTGAGAAGATAATACAGTATTGCTCTGATGCCGAGCTTCCTTGACGAACGGAAATCCAGTTGTGAGAGCCCTTAAGCAAGATTAGTTGATTCAGTGTTTTCCCCCATAATTAAAGATACATTGAGTAAGCTATGAGAGGAAGTGGAAACTACATGAAATTCTTCAGGAGTAGTTGAAAATGACGCGACTCGTTATAGCCCTGGGGTGTACATTTGTATCAGTGCGCTTCCTCACTTGTCTGCTCCTTCTCTTTGCATTAGAAGGAGAGTACACCATCCATTCGAAGGTTGGAATGTGTGGCAACTCTCCCGCTCAGGCCATCCAGCATCTAATGTTCACTGCTGATGATAGATGGAGTGTCGCGAAGTTCTACTGCAACGAAGATCTTCTTGTAAAAAGGACTTATTAAGATTTCCATGAAGTTCTCACTCCAATGCTGAATGCTAGGGGTAATGGAATTCGATTTACCCACAGTACCTAAGCTGTATACACGACGAGCGCGGTGATGGTGAACTGGCCTACCAATAGCATTGCACGTCTCCCAGATTAAGGATCCAAGTGACTCTACCCATGCCATGGAAGAATGTCCCTTTGGTCAATGAGGATGAGAAATCTCTAGTAAGCTTGATGGTTGGTAATAAACAGCAGAAAAATCGTGGAATTGAATGGAATTTAATCGTTGAATTTAGGATTAGTTTCACATGGAGGAGCTATTTCGAAGCAGGAATCATCCGACTTACCTGAAATCAGACTGGAAACAAGGAGTGGCAGCACCAAAGCTTGCAACATGTTCATAAACAACTCTCCAGGCAATCCGATTAGGACCAAGACATCTTTGCTCAGTTTCGCGTAGCTCAATAACATTCAATAGATCGTGATGTACGGTGGTGACAAACGCTAGAAGCCTACCGTAGCAATAGACCACCTGTGATACCGATAACGACACCGAGGAAAGTGAAAATCAGGAGAAGATTGCGCCGGAGCCACTCCTTCGTTGAATTCATCTGTTGCAAAAGCAAAATAAAAACAACTGAAATGGCTATTAAAGAACGGCATGGATTCCCCTGAAAGCGAGGATTCAACGCGCTAGATCAATGGGTACACGTGAAGGTTTTGTCCGCTGAAAGCAGAGCATCATGCCTTCAATTCAGTAGAATGGGTGACTGTTCTACATCAGCTTCTCTAATATGTGGTAGTCAATGTGGGCAAAGGCTGTCAGTGACTCATTTGCTCCAGTCAGCTGTACAATGCTTCCACCAAGCAGAGGTGACATCACTGTCTTCAACGCAGTGATGTCACCTCTGCTTGGTGGAAGCTTTCATAAAAATGTAAAAATAAGGATAAGAGCCCTCAGGAAATTATTTTCTCCAACAAGGAGGTATATGTAGCAGTTCCAGCAGTCGATACAAGATAAAGTATGAAGTATTCGCCTCTTATTACCCTCTTTCTGGGGCGCGGCATACATTCTACTTCCACTCACAGTCGTACTGGCTCATTGAATGCGATGTGGCCTATACAGTGATTCAAAGGCAGTTGGCACGATGGTTTCCTACTAGCCTAAAATGCTAGTAGGGTGCTGTATAGTGGGGAAATGGCGAAAGAACGGAGTGAAACGGTCAAAATCCTGCGAAGAAAAAGCCTCCGTTCTCAGTGACTTGAAAATCGATTTCGGACGAGTTTCCCGTAGGCATCTTGCCAATCACCGCTACCGAAGATACGGCTGCATATGTGCAGCATCACGGCCGCTTCATACCAATCCCTTCGCTTCATAATTTGCTTAGCAAATGAATGAATACGAGCGTCAGGAACGGTCGTCCATTTGTGGGCGGGCGTTTGGGACGTAAAGTTGTGGCTTGATAGGGCCCTTATAAGGGCACCTTCCTCGGGGAAACCGCTATGCAGCGCCTGCCCAGGGTCGCGGAATTCTATCCTGCCAGGAGTATTGATCCTAGTCGTCTTGGGGGATTTATCGTGCCAACTGCCTTTAAGGAAGTGTTCTTATCTTCCCACACGAGTCTACTACCAATTCACCGTCCGCGGAGAGTGGGAGGCTTGGTTGGCATGAGCGGAAGCCCATCCGAGAGGAACTCCAACTTCATTTGATGCGTTCGAGGTCAGCTCACTTTGTATCTTCAAAGAACAGTATCTATCTAGTAGCCCAATCCTTCGCAGAACGATTTCTGTCCAGTCGAAGAAGTCTACTGTGGGCAGGGTAGTGTAGTGAGCAGGCAGAGCGAACCACTACACTACCCTGCCCACAGTAGATTTCGTAATAAACCCTGCCCCTAAGCAGTCACTCCACCTTTGCAGCAGACATATCCGACACTCTCATTATAAAACCCTCCATCTCGTTTCCATACATAAACTGTTTTATGGACTCTCATGAAATGGTGCATTTGACTCTCGACTTCGACTACTGCATTTTACTGAGAAAATGTTAGAAAGTAATAAAGAAAATAAGAAACAAGAACAGAAGAAAACCTTCTATTTCGCAACATTTAGTCACTTCGCCTCTGCAGCAGGGTTAATGCCGATGGGACTTAATGGTGAACCACCAATGTTTTGCCATGAATATGTTTCGGCAAGAAATGTCACCGTCGAGCTTGGAATTCCGAATGATTACCGACTAACGAGAATCCATAAGAATCTTGCTCCCTATAGAGCAGAAAATTTCAAGTGCAGTTTTGATCACTGCAACCGGTAGGGCGTGCAACGGGGCATTGCCTTTCAGTGCAGCTGGATCAAATCTACAGCTGTATCGGGTTCAGGATCGCGTCCACTTGGTGGAGAAAGGGCGCAGCTGTGGCTGCTAATCTGCGCCGCGTCACACGCCCTTGGCGGATCATTATATAGCCACCTATATCCTGAGAGGGAGTAGCTGGCGATTGAACATGGGCAAAAACAGGTGTGACATCTCAAACATGAGACAGCTGTCATTCTTGTTCAGTGATGAAAAAAAGGCAAAAAAATGAAAACCTCTCTCCAAAAGCACAGCCTCTGCCACCTTTAGTTGGAGTGTGCAGCCACGCTTACCACATCTCAGAGATTTCGTGTGTGTGTACAAAGGTGTGGTAACACGATTTCTGCGAGGAATTCTTATGCACCACATGAGAACTATCAAAGGAGTTCAAAGTAATATGTGAACTTTTTCCCGGAAGTTCGCAATATTTACAGATGTTTTTGGGTCCATTTCAGTTTCTTTCAGGCAACCGGCAGAACGCAACGCAGTCATACCTGCACCCACGTTACTCTGAGCATGATAACAACTGAGCAAAATGTTGATGCATCGTTCAAAGAAACTTTGCGGTTACTCGTTGAGCGATCAGTTTTGTCAGCTTCGTTGTTCTTCCTACAGTCCTCATTTCATGACCACAAGACCGAACAAGCTCCGCAAGCCGGGAACAGTATCTTCTTCGGAACGTGCGGTCAGCGCAGTTTGTCGACGGGTGGGGGGGGCATTTTTGCACTTTTGCTGCTCCATCGCCGTGTCGGCCTCTTAGACAGCCTCTTCTTGAGTTGACAGGTTTTAACATGATGGCTTGACTACCTTGTTCCAGCTTCACAAGAGTTCACAGGTTTCGCCAGAGTGAGACATGTAAACCGGAACTGAGGAAGCAATGATAGTACAAAATGCCCCCCCCCGTCGACAAACAGCGCCCCGTGCGTCCTTAGTTATCATGGAGCAGAACAACTGCGATCAAGTTGTGGGAGTATTGATAAAGTTTTATTTTTCATCTGTTTCTCTATTTTAGTGTCGGTAGAGCTTCAGTTGATAACATAGGCATAGGAGGGAGAGGAACGCACACAGCGTTCTCCCTTTGAGAGAACTGTCAACCTCACGAAAAGGATCTTTTGATCTTTTAACAGGGAGTAAAGTTTCTGTGAACCATGTTTCCTGAAAAGCTGAGTGCCATCGCTAGAGAAAGAGCAGACTTGTTTAAATCGACTTCGAGCGAGGTTTTTCTCTCAAGCATGAATCACTCAGGCGTACGCCGTCACTTCGACTCCGTACTAGATGGGAGACTAGCAACATGTTGCTGTGAAGGCCTCAACCTCTGTACGTGCTTGTGGTGTCCGTGGATAATTTTTTTCTTACTGAACCAGTTCCTACCGAAGTTTGACGTTTTAAAATAAATCAGTGTTGCCAGTTTGCAAAACTTGCCTCTGAACCATGTGTGGCAATAAGCTTCTATTGCAATGAACAATTTCTTTGTGAACAGGGCAACTATACCATACATTTTTCAAATATGAGTTCTTGGGCGTTGAAACGGTTTATGGGTTTTTTCGTTCAAAGACTGCTGGTACTCTGGATACCAGAAGATTTGGCATAAACACCGCCCCCAAAGGAAAAATAGCTTTGGGAAGGGCATTACTGTTTCCGAGTATTTTGGGCAGTGCCAACCGTCATCCTGTTTCCTAACAGCAATTATTAGCAATCTTTTTGAGGCACTGGTCGATGTGTGATGCAAAGTCTACTGCCAGGGGTGTTTTCACTGCTTACTGGCACTAACTGTCGCGCTTTTTTCGTTACTCAGATATTTACCGCACAACTCCACTACACGGCTTCGCAAGTTCAAGTATCATTAATGTGACAAATGCTATTGCGAAGAAAGACGAGTTGTTAGAATCAAATGAAGGTTCGGCGACTCGGAGCGCTGCTCCCTGCTTGGGGCAATCAAGAAGAGAAGTCAACCGGAGTGCCTCCACAAAACCTCCTGATTCTCTTGAAATGGGCAATTCTGACATTTGGTTTCAGTACTTCAAGATTTCATTTTTCATTGTATCCATCTCGCAAATCGCCAATATCGCGAGCCCGCCGCTGCAAAAGTATGGACAGCCCTAAGGCTTGAATCGACTTGTGAATTCAAGCTGTAAGAGTAGCTGGAAACCCCAGCACATTATCTAGGTGCTCTTGAACGCAATTCCCGTGACTGCATATCATAGGTAATCACCTCACCTGTATCACCTGTGCTCCCGTTGATCATCGAGTTCCTCGAGCGGGCGCCAGTAACGTCTCCATTCGTCCCTGCAACGTGCAAGAGTTGCCCAATGAACTCTCTCAGCTCGAGGGACACGATGAACTTCATACCGTTCGTTCAGAGCTTTCACGAAGAAGTCTGACCATCGCATAGGCGGTCGTCCAGGCGTTCGCTTGACATCCCGTGGAATCCAGTCGGTGACTGCTCTGGTCCAGCGGTCGTCCTCGAAACGCATGACGTGTCCGGCCCACCTGATCTTCGAAACCTTGGCAAATGCGGCGGCGTCTCTGATCTTCGATCGTTGGCGGAGTGCGGAGCTCCGGATTCCCTCTCTCACTTGCGTGTAGCGGGAAACTCCGAGCATCGCCCTTTCGATGGCGCGTTGAATAACGCCAACCGCATGCTCATCCTGCTTTCGTAGAGTCCAAGTCTCTGAGGCGTACGTCAAGGCAGGAAGGACGCGCGGAATCGAAGAGGTGGGCACGGAGCTTGGTGTTCTTCGTCTTCTTCGCTACTCCCTCGATGTTCTTGAAGGCTCCCCAAGCCGCTCGCTTCCTCCTGCTCAGCTCTGGAGCTAGGTCATTCATCATATTGATTTCATCATATTGATTTCACGACCTAGGTACACATAGCTAGAGCATTCAGAGATGGTCGTTCCGTTGAGCGTGAATGGGGCATCAGATACCAATCCGTTTCTCATGAACATCGTCTTCGTTAGATTCAGCCGTAGACCGATTCTTCCACACGCGCAGTCGAATTCAGCCAGCATTCGTTCCGCTTGCTCGATGTTTGGTGTTATCAAAACGATGTCGTCAGCAAATCATAGGTAATACAGCCAAAAATAGGATTGCCGTGTGCTAATTGACCTACTGAAGAAGAAAAAAA